GAACGAATTTGTTGCACATTAATATCATCATTCTTTTGAAGATCATGTGTGAAAAATAACTTTGGTGAAATGTGCTTTGTCCTATCTCCTTTTATGAATCCTCTCTTCAATTGGGCTTTGCATGCTGCATTGTCTTCATACAAAATCATGGGTAGTTTGTCACATTTCAAACCACAATTGTCTCGAATAAGATGTATTAAAGACCCCAACCACACACATTTTCGACTTGCTTCATGAATAGTAATTATCTCAGCATGATTAGATGAAGTAGCCACAATTGATTGCTTAGTCGATCGCCAAGATATGGCAGTGCCTCCACAGGTAAACACATAACCTGTTTGAGATCGAGTCTTGTGTGGGTCAGAGAAAAACCCAGCATCAGCATAACCAACAAGATCGGGACTGCAATATTGCCATAAAATAATCCCATATCGGTAGTCCCTTTAGATACCGCAATATGTGTTTGATTCCATTCCAATGTCTCCTTGTGGGAGCAGAGCTATATCTTGCTAAGATATTAACTGAAAAAGTTATGTCAGGCCTTGTAGTATTAGCAAGATATATTAGTGCACCAATTGCACTAAGATATGGTACTTCAGGACCAAGTAGCTCTTCATTCTCTTCTTGAGGTCAGAATGGATCCTTATTCACATCAAGTGATCGAACAACCATCGGAGTACTTAATGGATGTGCTCCATCCATGTAGAACCGTTTCAATACCTTTTCTATGTAGGCAGATTGATGAACAAAAATTCCGTTTGCCAAATGTTCAATTTGCAAACCAAGACATAATTTTGTCTTTCCGAGATCTTTCATCTCGAATTCCTTCTTTAAATAATCAATTGCCTTTTGGAGTTCTATAGGAGTTCCAATAAGGTTTATGTCATCAATATATACGGCAAGTACAACAAATTCTAATGTTGTTTTCTTTATAAAAATATATGAACAAATGGCATCATTTATATAACGTTCCTTTAATAATACTCACTAAGACGATTATACCACATTCGTCCGATTGCTTTAGACCATACAAAGATCTTTGCAATTTGATTGAAAATATTTTCCGGGACTTTGAATTATGTGCATTAGGCATTTTAAATCCATCGAAAATTTTCATGTATATCTCATTTGAGACATAAAGGTAGGCGGTAACCATATCCATTAAATGCATGTCAAGTTTTTTATGGACAGCAAAACTAATGAGATAATGGAACGTTATAACATTCATAACGGGTGAATATGTCTCTTCATAATCGACACCGGGCCTTTGTGAAAATCCTTGTGCAACAAGGCGTGCCTTATATCTTTGTACCTTATTTTTCTCATTCCTCTTGCGTACAAAGATCCAATATGGCCAACAGGCTTAACACCATTAGGTGTTTGGACTACAGGCCCAAAAATTTCACGTTTTGCAAGTGATTTCAACTCTGATTGGGTTGCTTCTTGCCATTTTGGCCAATCACGTCTTTGTCGAGATTCTCCAACAGATTGAGGTTCAAGATCCTCACTATCTTGCATAATGCTAGATGCAACATTATATGCAAAGACGTAATCCACCACTATATCCAATCGATTCAAATTTGTCTCAATATCGATTGAATTTATTGATAGTTCCTTATTTTCTTGAGTCTCGGGTTCAGTGATTTCCTCATGAATCTCAGAATTGGTTAAATCGTGGATTTCTTTATGAGACTCTTTCGTAGTGTCATTTTGATCATTTTTTTCCTTTTTCTAGGATTTTGATCCTTAGAACCTAATGGTCTGCCACGTTTTAGTCGTGCTTTTGACTCATTAGCTATGACACTAGAAGATTGTCCAACAGGGACATCAATACAGATTGGAACATTCTCTGCAGGGATATGTGGTTTTGTTATCCTTTTCAGATCCGTAAATGCATCTAGCATTTGATTTGCTATTTTTTGCAAATGAATAATCTTTTGCACCTCTTTTTGACAAATAGAGGCACGTGGATCAAGATGAGACAATGATGGATTTTTTCACAAAATTTCTCGTTTGGTTTCACCATTTTCTCCTCCTAATTTTGGGAAAAGTGTCTCATCGAATCGACAGCCTGCAAATTGTGCAGTAAACAAATCCCCCGTTAATGTTTCGAGGTAGCGAATAATGGAGGGCGATTCAAACCCAACATATATTCCTAACCTTCTTTGGGGGCCCATTTTGGTGCGATATGGCGGTGCTACAGGCACATATACTACGCATCCAAAAATTCTTTAATGTGATATATTAGGTTCATGACCCAAAACTAATTGCAAGGGGAATATTTATGATAATTTGTAGGTCTAAAACGAACTAGCATTAATGCATGCAAAATGGCATGACCCCAAACAGAAGTGGGCAACCTCATTTTCATGAGTAACGGTCTTGCTATCAATTGCAAATGTTTAATTAAAGACTCTGCAAGGCCATTTTGAGTGTGAACATGAGCTACAGGATGTTCCACTTTTATCCCAATTGATAAGCAATAATCATTAAATGCTTGGGATGAAAACTCAACAACATTGTCTAATAGACTTAATTGGATTATCGGGGAATTGTGCCCGTAATCGAATTATTTGTGCCATTAATTTTGCAAACGCGAGGTTGCGAGATGACAATAGGCACACATGAGACCATCTAGAAGATGCATCTATTAAGACCATAAAATATCTAAACGACCCACTAGGTAATAGGTCCACAAATGTCTCCTTGTATACGTTCCAAAAACGCAGGGGACTCAATCCCAACCTTTGTTGGTGATGGTCTAATAATTAACTTGCCTTGATAACAAGAAGTGCAAGAAAATTCTTTATTTAAAAGAATCTTAAAATTCTTTAATGGATGTCCATTTGAGTTTTCTATAATCCGTCTCATCATAATTGATCCAGGGTGTCCCAATCGATCATGCCAAAGTACAAAAGTATTAGAATCAGTTACCTTTTGGTTTACAATAGAATGTGCCTCAATTACACTAATTCTTATCCAATACAGGCCACAAGCTAAATATGGGAACTTCTCAATAACCCTCTTTTGGCCAGAGACATTCTTGGTAATGATGAGATATTCAAGATTATTCTCATCTATTGTCTCAATATGATATTCATTTCGGCGGATACCTTTAAAACTCAACAAGTTCCTTTTGGACTTGGAGGAGAACATTGCATTATCTATGATAAGTATTGTTCTCTTGGGCAGAGTTATAGCAGCTCTTCCAGAGCCTTCAGTTAAATTACTACTACCAGAAATTGTAGTAACATCTGCCTTACACATACTTGAATGAGAGAAATATTTCTTCTCTTTGAATATTGTATGTGCCGTACATGAATCAATTAAACAAATATTTTTTACAATTGAACTTTGATCCAAGTTTGTTTTGTGAGATATCCATATTTGCTTAGTCTTCTCAAAGCTTCTTGAGACGGTAGAGTCTCGTGCTGATAACGTGTAATAAAACAATAAAAGTAGAAGAACAATATTGCAGAGAAAGAGAGAGTAATTCTTATTGAATTTTGGGATGATTTACAATGGGGTAAAACCCCTCTATTTATAGGGGGAAAATGGCTTAGTCACAAAGTAAAACTCTGTAAAAAATAAACATTCACTCTAATTACAATTCTATTCATAATAAAAAGTATTTTTTTTATTTTTAAAAGGAGTTTGGTTCAGGCGTTCAGCTAAAAAAAAGTAAAAAGGAAACGAGAAAATTAAAAAGGAAAAAAAAAATCATCAGTCGAGTAGAAAATTTTGCTCGAGCCAAGATTGATTTCGCAATTTAGATACTAGTTTCACTTATTATAAAAAAAACTATCATATACTTAATTATTTTTTAGATGAACTAATAGTATAATTCTTGTTTTTTATAGAAAGAATTACAGCCCATATCACTTGGCCTAATAGCCCAACCGAAAATGGCCCACATTTAAAGCTCTTATCCTATATAGCCCATGTTGTACATAACTTGAAAGAAATTTTTCAGCCTTTAGCCCACTATTAAAGACATACTTTTAGGGTTTTTATTATTTTCTTCTTTCTTCATTCCCTTCTCTCTCTCACCGCCTCTCACTTCTTTCTCTCTAACCCACATAGATCCCTCATCCTCTCTTAACCTAGCCCCCGCTATTCCCCTCCTTTACCCCCTACGCAGTTCTGCCATTAATGGCTCGAAGAAGGCTCGAAGAAAGACTCCGTCGTCCATGGTGGCAAGCAGAAGAACGAAGAAGATTTTTGAAAGAAACATGAAAATACACACAGATCTGAAAATAAATAGCTCTCAAACTTGATTTGCACCAACAAACAACTACTAATTTTGGAGGATTTTGAAGTTTGAAGTTCTGGTAATTTTGGAAGATTCTGAAGTTTGAAGTTTGAAGTTTGAAGTCTGAAAAATCATAACTATGTAGCAGGTTGTATCGACACTGTATAATAATGTATAATTGTGTATATGGGTATACAGACACCTCTTATACACTATTATACATGTTTATACAAGTTATACAGTATTGTATAATGGTGTATAAATATGTATATTTGTGTATAATATTGTATAAATATATATTTTTTCAGTTTATAAGGATGTATATACATTGTTAGCGTGTAAGAGGTCTCTACAGAAGTTTGACACTTCCTTCTCTTCTTCTTTTTCGTGTATGTGCTATATGAAACAGATTTGTACGCATTGGAGGAATTCCACAATTCATTTATCAATTTTTTATTTTTCTGTTATCCTGTTGGATTGCTTCAGCAATTGCACATAAATGTGTTTGAATTTCTTACCTTCAGATAATATGTTAATTGTGTAAAATAAGCTGTTTTTTCGGAAATTAGCCTATTATTTTTGGGCTATAGATTTACAATGTGATATCTAGGCTATTATGTTGCAAATCAGGTGTGTGAGCTGTACTTATGTGAAATTATCCTTTTTTTATACAGTCATTATATTATTGAACAATTGTTCTATCAAGTAAGAGCATCCGATTAGCTATGTTAAGGTGACCAACGAAGCAGCTGGTAACTTGTCTTGAATTCCTTATAAATTGAAACTTGGGAAGAGAATATATATAACACATTGTTCTGAATATAAGTCAATATATAAACTTCAAAATATAAAGGTTTCTGTCATGCTATGCACTACTTGTTAGTTAGCTAGTTATACTTTGAAAAGTTGCAGCAAGTTTTCTTTCACTCTTTTTTCAAGTGCCAATACTTTCAGTGCCTCCAGCTCCATCAAAATACATGGATCCGGCAATGCTACCGCTGCTGACACCTTCCATGAGTGCATATTTCATGTCTTCTGATGGTCGCCAGTGTCGCTTCCTTTGGTTTATGAACCAGTTGTTTATCTGCTTCGGGTCTAGCCCAGTGATCTCCGACAGCCTATTTTTCTCTTCTTCCTGCATTGTCATCTATGTTACTTTCACAATTAATAAGAAACACCTGATCGTTAGCCATGACTCGTGACCCTGGATACTGCACGTTCGTCACTTCAATCTATCCATTCTACCACTAAAACAAATGAGTTTAACTTCTGTACACTAATCATCTGAAAGATAACTACACACAATCGTTCATAAAAAGTGACATTAGTAACTTCGATTATATGACATGCATGTTAAGATTCTTCACTGCGTATAGGTTGAATCCTTAACAAGTTAGAGTGACAAATAAACAGATGAGTAGTGACTATCAATAATATTAGCCCGGGCATTTGAGTAGAGGCCCTAAGTTAGGGAATTGACCATTATAGCAAAGGTGTAAGAGGAGATAGCACGTGGGGGGTCGTCAAAAAAGCTATATATTCTGTCTTCTCAGATCTCGGAAAGAGTACTACAATTTCTAGACCAGCATTCTAGCGACACAGAGTTTTTTAAGACATCCTTAAACGAATGGCGCCGAGAAGTAGTAGAAATTACCGTGGGGTAAGGCCACCTGTAATGGGTATTCCACCAGTCCAGCAATGCAGTTCTTGCATCCTTGGGTAACTTGCCTTTTTTCCTCTTCTTCAAAAATTCCTTTCTCAAGCTGCTAAGGTAGCCACTATATTTGCGCATCAGCGTTTCTTTTAGCTCATTATCACCTTCACGGTTAGCAGGAGATTCTTGAGTACTATCCGCTGCTTCCATTTCCCCGCAGCCTAGATCCTCGTCTGAAGTACCACCTGCTTCATCTGTTATGAACCTAACTTAAATCAAAAGGATTCATATGTTTTATGTCAGCTGGCACTGGCTGCGGCACAGCTTTTGCATTCATAATCAAAGATTCATAAAAATCAAACTTCAGTTAAAAAGAATCTCAGACCAAGCAATACTATATTACATGGAGTACCTCAAAGCCCGAACAATAGCATAAGACATAAAATGTTTTGATAAATTATGCAAATAAAATATCACTAAAATGAGAATTAATACATTCAAGATTGATTTTAATGGTTCACTAAATAACCAAATCGACTTATGACCTGACAAGCTTCCAACACAGCTCAAAAAATTCTCCATATATAGAGTTACCTTATCACGCCCTGAATTATTCCGATAAAGAAAATGGTAAATAGGGGATAAATAAAGACAAGAACATTGAATCGCTTCATGCATATGGATGTTTAGTAATAAGGGAAAATTGGTAATACCTTTTTGTGATTCTGTAATGGACCCTGCAAATCACAAGTGATATGGGAGAGTATATGCAGATATTATAATTCAAAGTATTGGTGCATCACTGCATAGAAGCAGCTTGTCCTAGGTTCAAGGCCCAAGTAAAAATGCTCATTTTTTCAGCAAAAGAAGTTAAATCCAACTACTCCTCTGCAGACCAAGCAACAAACGCCACCAAATATCAGCATTTTGCATTCTATTTGCATGAGAAGAAACCTGGTTATGCAATTCAAGAGAACTCCAGTGGTATTGTTTCATAACATGCATAGACAGTTGCTGAAATGAACAAATCAAGTGACGCAAAAATGACAATGCAATTTCTATTTGTGAACCACAGTTCAGCGAAGAAGATGTATAAAGCACACAAACAAACATCAAATTATGCTGCCTCATGGAATTTAAGAACATGACAGGAAAAGACATGGAAAGGGGGGGGGGGAGGGGAGGAATCTTACATGTTGGCTACATTGAGTTGATGAATAAATTGTGGAATACAAGCATAAATTTGTGGCCAAGCTACGATAATAAGGAAGAGGCATCCTATTCTAGCTTATATTTAAATAATGAATTTGAATTCTTGAACCATGAAAAGGGTACATAACATCATCATTCATACCAAGTAAAACAAACATTCTTAAGTAGTACAAACAGAAATTGGGGGTGTACGTCATAAATTTAAGTAGTTTTCCTGTGTTTCTACTCTCTTGGTTTCATCCTTAATTCAAACTCTGGCAGTACAAAATAAAGAAGAACGGAAATCATGCTGGAAATTTCCAGTCATGACCCTCAGCAAAACACCAAGACGCGCGCAAGTTATGCTTAAAGTATTTGCATATATGATCAACTTAAAGCAACAAATAATAAGAAGACTTCAACACAAATAAGTTAGCAGGTTTAAATTTATTTGCACATTAAACAAGTACTGCATGTAATCATACAAAAACCATTCAAGCTCATATCATTGAGAATTTCACGATTTGGAAGTACCACTTGCACCCAAATTGTAAGAGATCCATACATTGTTAAGCAGGATTAATTGCATGACTAGGGAAAGGAGTAAGGACAAAAATTAAGATATGTCACAAACACAGACAGAAAAAACTGTAAAACGGCATGACAGACACGGGACACATTTAGGGGTCGTTTGGTACTATGGGGGTGTGATATCCCAGGATATCCTATGGGGTGTGATATCCCATGAGATAAGTTGTCCCGCCTTCTATATGGGATAGCTAATCCCACAATTTTAGTGTAAAAGTTATCCCAGAGTTAGCTGATACCCCAAATCAAACATGAGATAAAGCTAATCTAAAACTTTATCCTTGGATTGTTATTCTTATCCCATGTGCCAAACTATCCCTTAGAGATATATCTGTAATGCCAATACATAATCAAATTTCAGCTTAAATTCTTCTTGCCAATAATACAATTTTTTACACCAAATAAATTGTAAGCATGTTATTTCTTTTTTAAAAGAAAATTCTATCCGAAAACAACAAGGGAAGTGAAAAAAAGAAAAATAATATTAGGATGGCATTTCTCTCAGTTTTTGCACCTCATGCCCAAACCATGTCCAAGCCTAAGCCTTCATGTGTCTACCCAACAAATAATTATTAGAGACAAATACCTAATTTCAAATTAAACACATTCGGAAGCATGTCTATCATGTGTAAGTAAATCACATGTTCATGTGCAGGTGTATTCTTCAGCACCATAATATCAAAACATAGTGTTAATGCTCTGTATGCCTCGAACCTAATACACCTTCTACCAAATTGGACCTGCATAATGTTTATATATACATTTTAAGCCTGACCGTATCGACCATATATTCAATATCATCATTAATAACGATCACCAGTCATCCATAACTTTCAAGTTCCATGACCAAATCATTCAAGTGGAGGTTTTATTATATGTAAACCATCTATTCGAATTTTCATTTAAATCCAAATTACTCTCTTCGAAAATTTAATGAAAAACTCGAGCTAAACAAGCGAGTAGGTTTTTGGCATCATTTGTGTTTAGCATCACTGTCTAGGGCAATTTGAGAAAGAAAAAGAAACACCCAATTTTAAATCACATAGATAATGCACTAAAATGACAAGGTGTCTTATTTCATTTTTTATTCTAATTTTCAGATTTGCCTAATTTAAAACAATTTCACCCATGATTTCAAGTGTCTAGAGTATTTTGAATCCTACCCAACCCAGCCGAGCTTATGTTACATGATGCAAAATCTACAGCAAGTAAAAGCTAAATTTATGGTATATATCTTCTTTAAGCATTCCAAAACGGAGTTTTAATTTCTATGCACCAACAATATATAGATTTTAAGTCGACCTACAACAATAATTAAGTTACCGGAACTATAGAATAACATGCTATAGTTAGTAAAATTTCACTAGTAATATAAAATAAAAAAAAATAAAAAGAATATTACCGCTGTATAAAACTTAAATTTAATGCCTTAATTCCAATGTGAGAGATAAGAAACAAAATCTGACAGCAATAGTCCCAAAGGGATGCAGCCACCGAAAAGACTCAATTTCCAAGACTACCAACATGCCTACTATTACCTTCTCGCAACCCTAATAAGTATAATACAGAAGGGGCCAGCTAAAGTATAGGGGGGTCCGAATCAATCCTGAAAAGTTGAACGGAATAGTATTTCTGACCAAAGTTAGTACTTTCAACCCACACCCCAAGACAAAAAAACCCATAAACACACGCATAAACGATAGTGATGAGTCAAGAATCATGACTACTCATGTTTCACTAAGTTAACAGTATCAAGAAAGAACAAAAAGAACAGTGAACAACCTACCAGATAGATAATTGTTGTTAGAGTTGAAAGAGGTGGTGGTTGTTGTTGTTGTTGTTAAGTTTTCTTTGCAGAGAGAACTCAGCTGCGACTCAATGTTATTCAAGAACGTCGTGGCTTCATCAAACGGCTTTGACAACTCCTCCTTGTATTTTAGTAATACTGCACAATATGATTCCTTCACAACACAAAAATAACAAAAAACCCTCATTTTAAATAGTAAATGAAAACTATCTAGCTAGCTAGCCACTATTTTGTGTGTGTGTGTGGGCTGATGAGTTTTTCTATGTGGGGTTTTCACCATAAAATCATCAAGTTCTGGATCAGTTCCAATTTCAGTATTGTGGCAGCTGGATATTAAGTGGTTCTCTTTGCTGATTTTTTCAAGAATTGATACCATTTCCTGGGGTGCTCCAACCTTCATACATCAACAAAAAAAAGTTTTTTTTATCAATATATATACACGAACACATTACACTTGACATAGGAAAAAAAACTGTACAAGTACACAGTGAACACAGTGATGATCAACAGAAGAAAACAAGGAAAGAAGATGGATATATTTTGATTTACCTTTCGGCATTGAAGGTAGGCAGATAATAAGTTAGGATAAAGAGGATGATTAGCAATCTGAGCTTTAATAAGATCTGACATCTCCAAGCTGGCTTTTTCAAGATTATTATCAACACTACTGTTATTAATTGGCCCCTCTTGTTGTTGACCAGTTATGTGCTCAAGGACTCCAACAACATGATTATTGTTACTCGAACATGCAATAGCAGAATGAAGTTTGCTCAATTCATCCATCATCAAATAGTACTAAACAAGAAACAATAGTAACTTGGTTAGAAACCAAACAAACCCTTTCATATACACACACAGTGTGTAATGATAAAATTTGCGAAGTTTATTAACCTGCACCCTTTTAAGGTTTATTCCTAAGTTAAAGATGAAGAGAAACAGATGGGAGAGGAAAGGTCCAAGGGGATTATTATAGAAGGAAGAGATAGAGATAGAGAAAGACACCTGGAAAAAGACCCTACTTTAATTTTCTTTTTCTACACACACACCCGAGAGTTAAATAAAAAGTTGATAAAGACCAGTCCAGACTTTGTGTTCCCAACACTAGTGTAAAGGAAAGAGAAGCGAAGGGAGAGTGTTTCAAGGGTTCTAGAGGTGTTGCGGATTGGATTTATCTGGTATGATTGATTGGTTCAGACATGATAAAAACTAGTTGCAAATTTTTTATATTCAAATCTCACTGACAGTGCACTTATTTGAAATAAGGACAAATATTGATTATGTGTTATTTATATTGCTTTTTATTAAATTTTTTATCTAATATTATCCTGTCGTTAGAAAAAAATTCGATTCGAGAATAATTTTAATATATGAGTAGTAATATAGACCTTTCTTCTAAGAATTTGGACATGTAAAGTACTTTTGCTTTTATTAATGGCAAGAACAAATATAAAATAATATTGTATGTAAGTGTTTGAATAATATTGAACAATTTTGAGTACTATATGACTTGGATCTTCTTCCCCTATATTTTAGGGCAAACTTATTTTCTTAATTATTATCATGGTGATTTAATTTCAACATTAGTTACCGGACGGCTATTGTATTAATATGATGTTTATTATAAAAAGTTAGTTAACAAAAGGTATATTATAATAAAGAAAAAATATTAGTACAGTAGTATTTTCTTATCAATTCATATAACCTTAAATCCGTAGGGATTTAATACATATTTACAAGAAGTAGGCACACACATCATCATCATCAGAAAAATATTAAAAAAAAAAAGGAGAGAGAGAGAGAGAAAGGTGCCGAGGGTTGGGGAAGATTATAGGCTGGTTTTAGGAAAGGACATGAGAAAGGAATGGATGGACATGGCAATAAAAAGGGTAGGGGGGGGGGGGGGAGATGGGGAGGGTGAGTGGGGCGTGGGGTTGTGTCAAGTAATCTACTTACAACTATGAATATGGGGTGCTTTTTGGTTTATAGCGCACGTTCTTGCACGCTATTCAACAGTAAAACTTTGTACGTAATGCTCAATTGGCAACCATATCTAGTGAAGCATCCATACTCTCAACTCCATCTATATTTCCACCATATTCTAAAAGTTTTAATCAAACGCTGTAGCTACTTAGCCACTTGTTTGTTTGTATTGCTTTATCAAATACTTTAATGACATTTATGTATAGGTCAAAATCTGTCTCAATACTTAGGGCAAAATAACATTGAGGAGAGTCGGTCGAGGTCGACCAGGAGATAGCGAGGCTCGTGGTCGGGATGCAAACCATGGTCGATGTCGAGCACCGCAAAAAGAGTTGTAACGGCTAGTTTATTATAGTAGGATACTAAAGAGAATATTCCATTAGATATTCTCTGCATGTGTACTACCAGGGTTTACTGGAGGTATGTCCCATATAAATAGGAAAGATAGTAATGACTAAGGACATGTAATATTCACTTGATAGGAACATTTTTCAATTCTCTCTCTAGCAAAAATACAAACATTACCTTTTCATCAATATTCTTGCTCATATAATTCCATACTTTTGCACCAGATCCAAGAATAGTTTGAACACACTAGGATTTAGTAAACGACATATTTGCTGTTAAACAGTCGCCGGGAAAGGGATTGAGGGACTTCCTCGCCCGATTCAACCGAGTAAGAATGACCCTGCCGAATGTATCGGAAGGGATGGCTATCACAACTTTTCAGAACGGGCTGAGCAGAAATGGTTCAAGGGGAACAAGAAAGTTAATAAGTCGGCTTATGAAATACCCCCAACTACTTGGGATGAAATACACAATGCGTATTGCGCTGAAGTCCGCGCAGACGAGGACGACCTCAATGGGTCGACTCATCGACTAACTTCAGTACAAGCCGAATCCAGAAAAGATGAAAGAAATGATATCAGGAGGGACCTCGCAGCTCCACGGCCCAATATGGAGCGACATCTGCCATATGTGAGAACCGCCGTTGCATCATCTTCCCATCCCGAAGAGGGCCCACCCCGATCGGGAGCAGGGACTCACCGGAACGAAAGAGGTATGCCCCTTTATTATCCGCTCAATTTTTTTGTGTATCACCTACAGAAATAGTCTACGCCTTGGAAAATCTCGAACCTAAGGAGAAGTGGCCACAAAAGATGAGGTCTGATCCGAATACCAAAAAATCAGACGCCCTTTGCGAATTCCACCGAGAGCGAAGACACAAAATCGAGGATTGCATCACCCTAAGATAGAAAGTCGTAAACATGCTACGATAGAGACACCTCAAAGAGTTGTTGAGCGACCGGGGAAGGACCAATTTTGCCAGAGGACGTGAACAACATCAAGGACCGCTGAAACCGCCCTCGCCAACCCGCACCGTCCATATGATCATTGGCGGTGGCGATGATGCTCCTATCAACAGTGTGAAGTTCACCACAACCCACAAGCTCAGACGGTCAATCACCCACGAACGATTTGATGAACTCGAAGAAAGTACATCTTCGATAAGTCGAATACCAACGGTTTGGCTTTCCCTCACTATGATGCCGTTGTTATCACTTTACGAATTTAGATACCAATGTGAGACGCATTATGGTAGACGATGGTAGCGGCGCGTGCATTATCCACCCTCGAGTACTTGCACATTGAAACTCGAGAATAAGATAATACCACGTTGCATTATGCTAATGGGTTTTAACAATCAGTTGAGCGAACATTCGGCAAGATCACACTCCCCATCCTAGCCGGTGGCGTCACTCTAGAAATCACATTCCATATCATATACCAAGACACAACGTACAACGCCATAATATGGCGACCATAAATACACACCATAAGAGCCATCCCCTCCAGCTTGTACCAAGTCATCAAATTCCCAACTCCATAGGGAATATTCAGTATGCGAGGGGAACAACGCACGTCCCAAGAATGATACGCATCGCTCTAGACTGTACGGTCACTCAACAAACGAAGGACAAAGAAAAAGAGGCATAGTAATCAACAGGGTTGAGGTCGATATGTGATGAGGGCGAGGACATCATCAAAGACCCCGATACGGTTGAAGCCGCGGAATCGACCATTAAAGACTTCGACCACATTCAATTAGATAACAACGATCACAGCAAGAAAGCTTACATCGACTGCAAGCTTCAGGAACCAGATAAATTTTGCCAATTCTGCTAACGCGTACTTGTTTTCTTTTAGCCATGGAGATATGCCAGGTATCCCGAAGGAAATCGCTACGCACAAGTTGAAAGTCGAACCATTCCACCCCCCCCCCCCCGGTGAGGCAGGTTAGGCATAAGTTCAACTCCGCAATAAATGATGCGATATACGAAGAGGTATCGAGGTGAAAAAGAAGAATGGGAAATGGAGGATATGGAGGTCTATATAGGCGAATTGCTGGTCAAGTCCAAAAGAAAAGAAGATCACATCGACCACTTGCTGGTCAAATGTGCATTCGGTGTGGCCTCAAGAAAATTCTTAGGTTTCCTAGTATCACGGCAAGGTATCGAGGTCAACCCGGATCAGATCAAAGCCATCGAAGGGATACCAGAGAACCTGACCACCAAAAAACAGGTTTAGAGGTTGACCGGTCGTGTCGCCGCCCTTTCAAGATTCATATCGCGATCATCGGATATGTGTCACAAATTCTTCAGCGTGCTAAGAAAGATAACGGCCTCCAATGGACATCAGAGTGCGTTCAAGCCCTGAAGGAATTAAAGCATACTTGTCATCACCACCACTGCTTTCAAAACTAGACCCGGGGGAACGTCTCTTCGTCTACCTCGCCGTATCCGAAGTAGTTGTGAGCGCAGTCCTGGTCCGCAAAAGCAAAGGTACGTAGTATCCCATCTATTACATTAGAAAAACATTAATCGACGACGAGACGAGATACCCTCACCTCGAGAAACTGGCTTTGGCCTTAGTCGTAGCTTCACGAAAGCTTGGACCGTATTTCCAATGCCACCCCATCTCGGTCGTCACTACCTTCCTCCTAAGAAGCATTTTGCATAAGATTGAGCTATCAGGCAGGTTGTCCAAATGGGCCATCGAATTGAGCGAGCATGATATCACGTATCAGCCACGAACAGCAATAAAGTCACAAGTTCTTGGTGACTTCGTCGTCGACTTCAGCGCAAAAATAATGCCCGAAGTCAGAAAAGAAGCTGCCCACGCTTCTCCTCAAATATAGGATCTTTGGGTCCTGTACACTGATGGTGCATCTAACGTGTCAAGGTCCGGATTGGGACTCGTACTCGAAGTTCCGACCGACGAAGTGATTCGCTAGTCCATAAGATGCCCAGACATGACTAACAATGAGGTCGAGTATGAGGCCGTAATTGCAGGGTTAAGACTAGCACTCAAATACGAGGCGAAATGGCTAAGACTACGTTGTGATTCTCAACTCGTGGTCAACCAAGTCACAGGGACTTTCCAGATCAAGGAACAAAGGTTGCAAAAATACCAGACCAAAATCATCAAGCTGCTTCCCGAGTTCGATGAATGTCAACTCGACCAGATCCTCCGAGCACAAAATACTGAGGCAGACGGTCTCACCAAATTAGCCGCAGCCACCAAAAACATTACCACCAGAGACAAAAGCGTAGTCCACCTTCTCAATTCATCGAGAGACCTACTCGGGATAAGAACCATAAACCTAACTTGGGACTGGCGCAACTGTATTATCATACAACTTGCAGGACGGCGTGCTCCCAGTTGATAAAAAAGAATCCAAGAGATTGCGAATGCAAGCAGCCAGGTACAACGACCTGTACAAGAGGACGTACGACAGCCCTCTAGCGAAATGCCTAGGACCAAATCAGATGTGGCGCGTCCTTGAGGAGGTCCACGAAGGCCACTGTGTAGATCATTCCGGCAATCGGGATTTGGTCAGATGCCTCATACGGGCAGGGTATTACTGGCCCACCATGAAAAAAGAAAGCCGCGAATTTCGTGAAAAAATGTGAGCAATGCCAGAAGTATGCCCTAATGATTCACCAAGCAGGAGA